GCGCCCCCCAGACTGGACTGGCCCCGGCCTCAGAGAGGGCTCCCCCAAGTCCCCTCGGGCCGACCCCGAACCCCCTAAAAACCCCGAACCCCTTAAAAATTTGTTAAAACATCCCATTAAAAAAGCCCTTAATTTCCACTTCCTTTGGTCTCTTTTGGCCGCATACCACCTCTCGGGGCTCCACACCCCGTCATCGAGGTAGGCCCTTGAAATTGAGTTGGGCCACACCTGTGCGAGTTCCTGGGTAATCTCAGCCAGTTTGGCCTAGTACAACGGTCTTCAAACTTGGCCCTTTTATGACTTGTGGACTTCAACTCCCAGAATTCCTCAGCCAGGCACACTGGCTGAGGAATTCTGGGAGTCGAAGTCCACTCCTCCTAAAGTCTATATCGGGGTCTTCAAACTTGGCCCTTTTATGACTTGTGGACTTCAACTCCCAGAATTCCTTAGCCACTGTGCCTGGCTGAGGAATTCTGGGAGTTGAAGTCCATTCCTCTTAAAGTCTATATCAGGGGTCTTCAAACTTGGCCCTTTTATGACTTGTGGACTTCAACTCCCAGAATAGTCTCAGTTTCTTATGTGGGAAAATTAATAGGTCATACGTGACCTACCAGGAGAAGAGGAGACGGGGTGTGTGTACCTGTGTTCCATGTAAGAGCTGAGGGGTTCAACACACGTTGTGACGGCACCAATGACAAAAGAGGCCTTCACGTCTGCGTCCGGGTGAGTCTGAAGGGCCTGGACAACGTCAATCACGTCGGTGTATCTGTAGAGGACATTGAGCAAAGTCAATGGGACGGAAGCCCGGTTCGCTTAACGCAGGGGTAGGCCACCTTGGCTTTTATGACTCGTGGACTTCAACTCCCAGAATTCCTGAGCCAGCATGGGGAACTATGGCCCCTTCATGACTTGGGGACTTCAACTCCCAGAATTCCTGAGCCAGCATGGGGAACTATGGCCCCTTCATGACTCAGGGACTTCAACTCCCAGAATTCCTGAGCTAGCATGGGGAACTATGGTCCCTTCATGACTCGGGGACTTCAACCCAAAATTCCTGAGCTAGCATGGGGAACTATGGTCCCTTCATGACTCAGGGACTTCAACTCCCATAATTCCTGAGCCAGCATGGGGGAACTATGGCCCCTTCATGACTCGTGGACTCCAACTCCCAGAATTCCTGAGCTAGCATGGGGGAACTATGGTCCCTTCATGACTCAGGGACTTCAACTCCCAGAATTCCTGAGCCAGCATGAGGGAACTATGGCCCCTTCATGACTTGGGGACTTCAACTCTCAGAATTCCTGAGCCAGCACGGCTCAGCTTGGAAACCTCTCCCTTTTCCCTCAGCATGGCTGGCTCAGGAATTCTGGGAATTGAAGTCCACGAGTCATGAAGGGGTCAAAGTTTCCCCTATGCTGGCTCAGGAATTCTGGGAGTTGAAGTCCACGAGTCATAAAAGAGCCAAGGTTGCCTACCCCTGGCTTGACGGCTGTGCGACTGACTGAACCACTGGAGGGATTTGCTTAACAGCCGTGGGGAAAAAAGCCTGTAAAATCAGACATGACTCATTGGGAATTCTAGTTCCCCCCTCCCAGTCATAAGTTGAGGACAGTACTTAGCCCCATTCGTTTAGTAACCGTTCCAAATTAAAACAGCACTGAAAAAAGGGGACTTATGAACATTTTTCACCCTTATGACCATTCCAGCGTTCCTGGGATCAAAATTTGGAAACTTGGTGACTGACTCATATTTATGACGGTGGGGTTTTTTTTTAGTTTCCCTTATCAAATCCATCTTTTTTGCAGATGGGATACAGCTGCTGGATTGTGGGAAGATCTCCCCAAAAGCCTTGTTTAGATCATCCCAATCGCACATGCGTGGTTTCCGCAAGCACATCGACCACGTCAATACGTTTGTGGTTATTTTGCCACATCTGTCAAAGGCCCCAATCTAATTCTTCATTTCACACTTGAATTTCGCAGAAAAGGCCGTGGACTGAGGTGATCCGTTAAGTTCCACCTCGTTTCTAAAATTAGAAAGGCGTTTAGCTGAGGGAAACAGCTTTTCTAAAGATTGTCCAAGGTCTCTTTCATGTTTCATAAAACACAGAATAAATACATGCTTTGGACTTCACCTCAGCATTTTTAGTAGATTTACACAATGCTCTGAAAATTTCCACACTTAATACCTAACTCCCTCGACTTAAACAGTACTTCCCTTGGGGAAAAGGATTTAAACTACTCCACCCAAGATACAATGTTCACCACATCCTTTTTTACTCGCTATTTAGGGAACGTGATTTTAATCAAGAATAAGGCAACTTGGTCCCCCGAGTAGCTTGGGACCACTTACAAAAAAACCCCAGAATATACTTGTTATCTGTATTAAAAGCCAGTGGCTGATTAAACATCTTGTATTTGATAAAATACTTTTTTTTCCCTTTTCAAAGCTGGCTTGGTTAAGTTGAAATAGAGTTTGTGGGGTTTTTGGTAATGGATATATATATGTGTGGCAAAAAGTATACAATACTGCACCCAGGTAGATTAAAGGAACAATGAAGTATCTTGTAAGTAACAGAAATTTTTAAGCACCCCAACTGGCTTGGTCTTTATAACAAATTTTGACATTTCCCCCTCTTTGACTGCAGTGTGTAGCACTGTATGCAGACAGTCCTCAACTAACAATCATTTGTTTAGCAACTCATTACGTTGCAACGGGTTTTCACATTCACAACCATCGCAGCATCTCCACTGTTATAGGATCAGAATTTGGGTGCTTGGAAACTGGCATGTATTTACAAATGGTTGCAGAGTCCTGGGGTCAGGGGACGGCCACTTGCTGTAGGCCGCCCAGAGCTGCCTCGAAACGAAATGGCAGCAAATAAATTAGAGGGGGGGGGGAGGAAGAGAGATGGATAGATAGATGGATGGACGGAGGGACAGATAGATGATAGATAGACAAATGGAGATAAATAGATACAGTGGAGAGATGATAGACAGATAGACAGACAGACAGACAGACAGATATACAGATAGATAGA